AATGCCGAGGTATATTCTCTTGGTCAACTAAAGAGCTGTCGGGAGACTGTTGATTTCATATGTACTTGGCTAAACGTCAACCCGAAAACTTGGCCCATCAAGTAGAAAATGAGGTGGTGGATAGATGTCCGACTAGAAAAACCAATTAAGGAGGAGATATAGAAACAATTAGCGTCCAAAAATATCATAGAGAGACAATATCCATACAAGATGGCCAAGGAGGTGATGGTCCCAAAGTCAAACAACAAATGACAAATGTGTATTGACTTCACAAGTCTCAACTCAATTTGTTTGAAGAACGACTACCCTTTGACACAGATCGATGAGTTCGTGGACTTGGTCTTCAGTCATTCGATCAGGAGTTTCCTAGTGCCTTCTTTGGGTACCACCAAATTAAAATGCACTTTGCAGATGTTAAAAAGTATGTTCATTACTAGAGAAAAGGATATTTGGTTATAATGTAACGACATTTGAGCTTAAGAACTCAGGAGCCACCTATCAAAAGATAATGACTATATTATTTGATGAACAGAAAGGTAAGAATATTGAAATATATGTCAACTATGTACGAGTAAAAAATAAAATAACCGAATAACACAAAGAATACCTAATAGAAAATTTTGAAACGTTAAAAAGATATAACATGAAGTTGAATCCACATATATCCATGTTCGGGGTCGGAACAAGAATATTCCTAGGATATATGTTGACACCGAAAGGAATCAAACCCAGCCCTCAAAAAGTTCAAGAGCTCATGGCATGCCATCCCCTCTCAATATCAAAGAACTACAGAAACTAATAGGCCAAATTGCAGCTCTAAATTCATTTATCTCCAAGTTTGGGAACAAGTGTGATTTTCTGCAAGGTTCTAAGGAACACCAAGAGCTTCACATGGATGGACGAATGCGAACAAGCCTGTTGGGCAGTTGAATGATTTCTTATCCTCGCCACCTCTATTTCATTACCCTATGTCAAGTGAGGAGCTTTTGTTGTACTTAGGAGTCAATCTCAAAACAATCAGTTCGGTCCTGGCTCGAGAAGAATAAGAGAAATAATTTTTAATCTACTATTTTAGCAGGATCCTATGAGGCACTGGTGCACATAGAAGACAAGAGAACTAAGAGTTGGTTGAATACGTACGTCCATTCTCTCAAGACTAGGGAGCTCGCCACGAAAGTTCAATGAATATAGTAGAACCACTTTTAAATCTTCTATCTTCATTTTCACTAACACTTGTAATCAAACTGAATCTATAATAGAACCACTTTTCACTAAGCTATTGCAAGTTTATTTAAAAAGAAAGGCATCTCCATCTATGAAGCTCAACAACCAAAATCAATTCCTATTACTAAATCCATGGAAAAAAAAAATTCATTGCACATATAAAACTATAGGTTATTCAAATAAATATCTCTTACCCTTATTTTATATAAAATCTTTTTTCATAATCAGAAATCTATTTTTATTAGCATACTATTTATAATACTAAAATATTCTATAAACTTAAAATAATGTGAATTAAAATAATATTATAATAAGATATAAAAGCCTTTCAAGAAATAGAATATGAGAATTTGTAAAGTTACTAAAATAAAATAAAGCAGTGAGATATAGATGTGTTTTACTGCAACATATAAATCTAATGATTTACTAAAAATAATATAAAGTAAAATTAGTGACCATAAGCTCACTCAAAAATATGGGAATGACTATTTTTAAACTATTTTTCTAATTACTAAATTGTATACTATCAAAGTTATCTTTACCAATCATTAGATATTAGATGATATAATAATTTGATATAAAGAATTTCTTATATGATACCAGGATGAGGAAGTATATATGAAGATTCCATCAAGATTTAAGTTTAATACAAAATAAAAGATATGCAAGCTAAATAAGGCATTGTATGGGTTAAAGAATGTCCAAGAACATGGTTCAATAGTTTGGCCAAGGTAATGCTCTATATGATACAAATAAAGCCAAGAAGACCATAAATTATTTAGGACGCATATAACATCAAAGAGCATTACAGGTTTCTATTGACTACATTATCATAACATATAATATCTTTAAAAAGATGAAAATTTTTAAAAGAAAAGGTTAGTCCAACAATTTAGAGTCAATAAATTAGGCAAGCTAAAGTTATTCCTTGAGATGAAGTTGCACACCCATGATATAAAATTTTCACATCTCAATAAAACAAAATATTAGACTTTTTGAACAAAATGGGTACAGTAGGATGGACAAATATTAAGGGGGGTGTGTGTGTCTATATACAAACACACACACACACACACACATTATTATTATTATTAAAGAAGGTGAGAAAACTTATCTGCTTAAAATAACCTTGCTTATGTTATTAGAGTATCAGTCAGCTAATACACAATCCCAAGGAATCACACCAAATGAAAATATATATAATTCAAATTTATTTGAAGAGAACTCTATAGAAAGATTCTATTCAAAGAAGAAGATTCGACTCTTAAAACATACACAGAAATGAATTATGCATATTCTATAGTTGTCAGAAGGTCAACTTTAAGATATTGCACATTCTTAAGAGGCATACTCGTATAGTGGAGGTATGAAATAGCAATTTCTAACACAAAAGCCAATTTTAAATTTATTTAATTGGAAATCTAGAAACTACAACAGCTAAAATTCATTCTAGAAGATTTTAACATTAAATAGAAAATTCCGATAAGATTCTATTATGACGAGAAACCTACATATAAACACATGCAACATTATCATACAAAACATATTGATTTGATGGGCAATATATATAAGAAAAATGTCAGCTATCTAAGATGTGCTCCATTCATGATCATACATAATTAACTTGCTAACATACTCGTTGAATGATTAATAGAGTCGTCTTTCAAAAATTAACAAGAAAAGTTAAAATGGATAGCATCCATTTATTCACTTGAGTATAAAATGCATCCATAATTTATGCCAATAGGAACCCACGCTCACCAAGACTTTTGCCCTCCATCTTTCATGGCCACCTCATTAATACATGTGATCCCTACTTCCAACTTCCTACTCATCAATCAATGGCTAATATAATTAATCCACAATTAGTATTCTATCAACTCATCAATTTATATACTATTGTAATTATTTTTTTTTAATATTGTATGTTTCTTATTAAATAATCCTTTAAAATTGCGCAAAAGTCGAACTGATGAACTCCACCAGTTGTCTTTAATCCTTGACAACAATCACAACACTATATTTTTTATATATGGAATGCAGCGCAAAGAGAATAAACTTTAAAGAAGTTAAATCTGAGAATTAGAATGTTATATTAAATGTACAACAACAACAACAACAAGCCTTTATTCCACTAAGTGAGGTCGGATACATGAATCCTTTTCCTCCATTGTATCTTATTGAGTGCCATTTTTATTTAATTCTAAAAAATTATGATCATTTCTTATACAACATGACCAAGTCTTTTTAGTTCTACCTCTACCTTCTTAACATAAGTCAAATCTAAAACATCTACTCTCCTAAGTGGGTTTTCAAATGGTCGACGTTTAATGTGACCAAATCATATAAAGTGACACTCTAATCTTTTCTGTTGTTGAAGCTACTCCAATCTTTCATGGGTATATTTGTTTTGTATTTTGTCTCTAAATGTAAAGCCAGTCATCCACTTGAGCATTCTCATCTCAACAATGCTTAATTAATGCTTCTCTTTTATAGGCCAACATTCTACGCCATAATGCATTGCAGGTCTTACCACTATTTTATAAAATTTTCCTTTTAATTCTAAGTGGTACTTTCCTATCACACATAGGCCTGATGCATTCCTCCAACTCAACCATCCAACTAAAATTCTACAAATAAAACCCACAGTTTTATCACCATCACATTGAGCAATAGACAACATATATCTAAAAAATTCACTCTTTGTAATGACTTAATCACCCAATGCTAAAACCCCGCCACTAGATTTATTACTAATAAAATTATATTCCATGTATTCAATCTTACATCTACTCAGACGAAAGCCTTTTGAATCTAAAGATAACATCTATAATTCAATTTTTTCCTTAACTCTTGTTCTAATCTTATCCACAAAAAGGATATCATTAACCCAAAGCATACACCAAGGTACGTTCTTCTATATCACATGTACAATGCAAAATATTGAAAACTTTTAAAAAAGAAATATTGAACTTGATTACACATGTCAAAATGTAAAGAGGGTCATCTTCATATAAGAATTGAATAGAAATCTCAACAGAAAACACAAGGCAAAGATTCAAGGAACAATGGTTTACAAATGCTTGCAAATATTTTGCCAAGGTATTAGACAAGTTTCCATTAATACAAGAGCATCTGTATCAAAGACGATAAAAGACAGAATGCACACGCATCATTGTAACAAAGAAGAAAGCAATTCCTGACTAAGTCTAGGGCAAATGCTGCAAATGAAATGCAAGGCTGTATCCACAAGAAAACAAAGCGGACCATTAAACTTCATTATCAGATCAGAGATAGCCACAAAGCAAATCAGAAAAAGCATTTAAGCACAAAATCCTCAGCTAGCTCGCAAATATATTATGCTTTGCTAGTAAAAGGCAAACAAGAATGAAATAAAAAAAGACAAAGTTGCTGGTAAAACCTCAATATGTGCAACTATATCAGCAGCCGTCACCCTCGAATCTTCCTCATGTTGCTTTATAATCCATTGGTAGAGCTTTTCCTGCAGAAAGGAACTTCTTAGAAAATATGTTGAGATACTAAAAAATTTAACTAGAGAAACTAACAAAATCAAATTGGACAAGTCCTAAGAAATAAAATTGCAACTTGCAAGAGCTCTTCTTCTAGCATCCTACTTCAGATGCTTTTGCATAAAACGAATAAGGCAGTCAAATGATGAGGCAAAGAATTGGTATAGGCTTGAAACTGGAATACTGATATGGATGACTATATGAGGTGTGAAAATATAATAGCTACGCTTGCCTTCATTTGGTAAATTTAACAAGTCCATTGCTTTTCAAAATCCCATCGTATCATACTTTTGTTTCAGGATGCACAATGGAAATCCCCAGCCTATACGTGCACCTGACTTCTAAACCTTTAAAAACACACTTGACAAGCATATAGTTCATTAATTGCAATAGTCGCGACAACTTTGTTCTTCCAGCAAGCATAGCATGGTAAATAGCATCACCAAAATAATATATATATATATATATATATAAGAGACTAAATTAATATAGTTCATTAACTGCTATAGTCGTGTAACTTTTTTTCCTTCAGCAAGGCATAGCATGGTAAAATAGCATTCCCCCCAAAAAAAAGGACTAACTTTGCACGAATACATTTCTGGACTTTATATTAATTTTGACATTTTTCTAAACCCTGGTGGCTGGCATCATTTGTATAAATATTGATCTATTATTCTTCTAGTATAAAAAAAGGGCAACTCGCTTCCTGCTTTGAGAAAGTTGCAAATAGGAGATCAACATTAATGATGATGATATAAAATGAAAGAAAAATTTTGAAACAGCTTAAATCACTCAAGCAAAAAAAAATTACACACAAATATTATACCAAATGAACGGTGCATGATGCCAATTTCAACAAATTCACCCTTCATTGATCTTTGTTAAAATTAAAATCAATGAATAAGATGGATGATCTTGATTGGTCATGTCGTTGTTGCATGGTTAAAACTAAAAATAAGAATGAGAAAAGTACCCAAATGATCTTCTAAATATTTATTGATACCAAGTTAATCCAAACAATCATAAGAACGCAAATATTATTACTAAAAATGGGTAATATGTGGTTACAACCACACACACTTGACAAGAAAATACAACAACAAACCAAACAAACAAAGTTAAATATATTCAAAGGTGGTGGTCGGTTTGGTGAGTCGATTGTAGAGGAAGGTGACAAGGTGGTGGACGGATATAAGACGAGTAAGGGGAAGTTACGAGGGATTGCGACGAGGAAGGTGGGGGGTTAGCCGACTGAAAGACATTAAGCAAGGGCTGGTTGGAAGGCTAGAAAAGTTGTTCGGGGCGGTGACAGTGACGGGGAATTTGTGAGAGTGAGTGACTGCAAAGGGACAACTATCCCTGGATTGCGACAGTGAGGGGGATGGCTGGACAGTGAAGGAAGGCGGTTGGAATGAATGACATCAAGTTGGGAGGTGGTTGGAAAGGATGGCAGCAAGTGGAGGCAGTGGTGGTCAGCAGTTGGAGTTGTGGGACGACAACAGGGTTGTTGTCCGATTGTTTTGGCTGCAAGTAAAAGCTGGGTTGTAAAAAGGGGAGAAATGCGGAGGATGAAAAAAAATCAGAGATAAATACCCAACGAAAACAATCTACAACTGGAGCACCAGCCGATCCTTGGAAGGAGAACAACATTTCGGACGGGTTACAACCGTAGCACCACCTGTCTTTGAATACAGTCCTAGAATGGAAAAACTTAGACGGCGACGAACGTCCTGACAGAAATAAAATCCAAAACTGAAACATAAATACACATAAATACTAGTAGATAGCTAGGGGAGGTGGGACCCTCTCCTATTTGGGTGGCATCCCTATTTCCTAGGGAATGCGGCCCTATTCCCCTCTCAGTTGAACCGATACAACCACTAGGTACAGTGCCCAGTTCAACCAGGAAAGTTCCGCATCATTTACAAAATGTTGTTTTAATCCCATAATTTATAAAAAAGCCAACTAGTCCGCACACTATTTTGATGAGGATCGAAACAATCCTCCCTTTAAGAGAATCTAGGGACATTTTTCAGTCCACATTAAAAGTGTTTGGGGACTAATTTGACATTTTTATAAAGTCAAATACCCAAATATAACTACAAACATGAAGAAAAAAAAAAGCAATAACCATTATGGGAGGAAGGATCTCAATATATGAATGTACCTCTTGTATTTGAACATTATATTTTTTTTTATATTGAATAAGTCTCATAATATCTCGAGTAATTAATCCCAAAGATTTCGCAAAATGAGCAATAGAATAATACCAAATCTATCTTCTAATAATATTCACAATATGACAAGTCAATCTATACCTTATGTGCAAGCACAGAAGTCTATTTCCAACAAAAGTCTAGCTAGAAGTGGCCTAATAAGATGAGTAGTAGCAACCTCTACTTGTAAAGTTTCACCAAATATAACACAAGAAGTACATGGTTGATTAGTTAAATTAATGTTAACAAAGCTAAGTAAAAGTCACCCATAGTAGGTAGGAAGCTTATGATGCACTGATAGTAATGCTGTAACATATCGTGCGGAACATATGCACTTTCTCAGCACACACTCGGCAAGCCATCTACTTACCCGGTTAAAAAAAAATTAGTAGACACAAGTAAATTATATTAATAATTTAAATTAAGATATTTATCTTTTTTGTTTCAAACTATATTATTTAAATAACTTAATGACTACTTATGCTTTTATTTTCCTTAATCACCTCTATTTTCCTAAGATATTTAACGTTTTTTTAAATAATCAATTTTTTCAACTACCTGCTAACCATCTTTAATTTCATGGAGTTATTTCTTCTTCAATTAAGTTTAGGACAATTAATAAATTTAAATATATTTCTCATTTTACAAACATATAAAAAATTAAATAAAACTAATATCATATAAATTCATTTCAAACTTTTCAAAATATATGATTACTATAAATTTGTTTTTAATTTAAAGACATAATATTATAATATTATAATATTATGTCCAATATATGCATATATCCTATATTTTCAAAAATAAGTGTTGTGTCAATATCATGATGTGTTTGTGTCCTCATTTTCACATTGATGCATCCGGAGTAATAGGTGGTTCCTCAAATGTGTCAAAATGGGAAAACAAAGTTAGCAAATACACAACAAATAGCCACTAATATAACAATTTGCGCTAAAAAGTTTCAGGTATAATATGCTTCTAATGATAATATAATAATGATAAAATAAGTATCCATGAGAATGACTAAATAGCCATAAATCAAAGTTAAATTAGACATCCATTCGCAAATAACATCTAGATTAGGGCATCCAAAAGAAATTTTTCCTCTAGTAAAAAAGAGGGTTTGATAGGCTGAAAGGACTCGTCATCATAAAAAAGTACATATTTGCAAAGAAGCGTGGATACTTGCTTATGTTGAGGTGGAACTAAGCCTTAATAAAAACATATAGAAAAATGAATGGAAGAGAAAAGATAGCAATACACCCACAATATTTGCATGGAATGAAAAGTAGAAACAAAAGGAGGTCCATTTTTTAATGTCATGAAAGCAGGAGGAACATCTTGAATAGCAGAACCCACTAGAACAGGTGGAGACTATAATAGCTACATTTGAGGAACCACCAAAACCCTATGAAACATTGTAAAGAGAGGCTATTATAAGAGAAATGGGATAAAAAAAGAAGGATAACTAACTAAGGATGCAGATAGGGGTGAGGATGAGAGAGAGAGAGATAATGAACGAGGAAACATGGAAGTTGATAGAAGGGGAGAGCGGCAATCAATAACAGAGAAATCATAGAACCAAAACCATTGAGAATGAGCACTACAATCACACAGCTTGGCAGATGCATGGGCAAGTTGTTCATGGACACAAGATGAAGCCAACACGAAAGCAAAGGAATTGTAGGCACTCGTTCGTAGGTTAAAAAAGAAAGGACATTCAGGGGACTACATGTAAAACTACAATGTGAGAAGAGAATGGGTGCTCCCTACAAAAAACATGATGGCTTCTTCTCCATATGCAATATAGTGTTGGTATCCCATCCAATAAACAGAAATGCCTCAATTGTGTTGTTCATTTCGTCATCTACATGCTTAAAAACATAGACATTGCTTCTCCTCATACTTCTTTACCATACCAAGAAAAAATTATGGATTCTACCCACTATGCTCGTCATTGTGGCACTTTCATTATTACCTCAAGATCTTCTTTCTCTCCCTTGTCGACAACATCATCATTGAAAATATAAATGAAGATATGCTCTCCTGCTCTTATGTTGTTCTAGCACCACCAAAAAACTACGTTGCTTTAAAATGTCATCCATCTCCATTTCTCTTTACTTGCTCGCTAGTTAGTTGATGAGCTTGATCCCAAGGAAAAACTCAAGCACATGCTCTACAAAAAATCTAGACTTGAGCTCAAACTCAAGCTCATTTAAAGAGACCAGGTTGAGCTCGAGTCAAAATGGCTTCTGCTCAAGGGTCATGGAAAACTCAAAATTGAGTCAACTCATTCATACACTCCCCTAATCCATAAGAAATAATGAAACGTTATCATTGATATAAAAAAAATGGTGAACAAAATTTATTACAAAAAAAAATGCCAAATATTCATGTGGAATAAGAAACATTTATCACAAGCTGAATCTCTTTTGAAGCAATTTACATCCAATTTTCACTTTCACATAAGGTTGCATGTTTTTTCCAATAATCACAATAGAGGATGAAATAGATAATTCTAGTTACATACAGCTTAAGTGCAATCATTAAAGAAAATAAAAAATAATGTAAAATTTTATTAATGAAAACTCAAGTTCAATAATATCAAGCAAAAATTACTTCATTTTTATTCTAATTATAAAACAACAGATGTTGGAGGCATATCAGCCATTAAGTCCCTCAATTATAACCGTGAGATAGGAGCATCTCTTCATACATACTATTAATATACTTAGTTCTATATTGCTTCCAGGAAGTATTGGTCAAAATATTTTTGTACCTAAAAAATACGTCTAGTGATAACTGAAAAATGTTTGATGAAAAAATGATAAACATAAAAAATGATACTGACCTCATGCTACTTGAGAAGCAATCAAAAATTTTGAAATGACAAAAAAAATAAATTAGTGAGAGGAAATTCTTGAAGCTTGGATCATGATATCTACATTGACACATTGACAGGAAACAAGTCATGTTGTAATCCTTATGTCAGCACTAGCTTAAGCCAAATTATATGAGAAGACAAATGAAGATGATTTTGAATTCTCGTCATTAAAAACCACCACCATCAGCAAACAAAAAGCACAGTATAGCATTCCAAAACAATGGGAAGAACAAACCTATTTTGCAAGCCTCATCAACATGTTAAGAATGGGTAAAGCCTATGAGATAGAAATGCTTATATTGAGTGTCAGTTAATAACATCCTACAAACAAAAGTGCATCATCCAAGGTCAAAGAAAGTTACAAATTCTGTAAGCCCCTCATACCGCACAGACTATAATTAAAAGCTCAAGGAAAACTGGCCCATTATAAAAAAAAGTGAATCTATATACTAAAATAAGCCAAAAAGATTCATGAACTCTCCCATACAACAAAAAATGGAAGGATTAAATGCAAGCAGTTGCAACTTGTGAGCGAGCTGGGTTAAGAGGAGATCCCTTCAAGAATAAACCCTCATTATGTGCCTATGTCAATTAACAAACAAGGGAAGATCCCTTCAAGAATAAACCATCATTAAGTGCTTATGTCAATTAAAAAACAAGGGAATTCTCACGTACTACAAAAGTCTAACAAGCCAGTCAGCTATTTATCATAGCTGCAGAGGTTTCAAACACTAGCCGCTGAAATTTACAAATCACGAAGAATAGTTTCAAGGGTTGATTAAAGAATCAGAAAAGAAACATAGAAAGGACAGGTAGCAACGAACCAGAGCCTGCCGCTCGCCAGCCTGGAAAGCGACCTTTTGGTGATTCATGGCTTGGGTGTATAGTTGAGAAAGTGAGTTGGCCGCGCTGCAGAAGGTCGAGTAAAGAGTCCGATCGACATCGTCGAGATGGGTTGCATCTGATTTCCTCTTCCTCGCCATCAATCCGATTAGCAAACAACACCCGCCAAACCCTAGATGGGCGAGCAAACAGATAGAATAAAAGAGACTAGTATTCCAAAAATCCGAAGAACGGCAATTTCCTATTTAGAGAATTTAAGGAATTGATAGAGAGATAAACAAGGAATTGATAAAGAGATAAACAAGGTCGTCCATATGCGGAATTTTTCAAACTAAAATGTTCCATGTGAAGGTCGTCCATATGCGGAATTTTTCAAACTAAAATGCTCCATGTGAACTTACGGGACTCATATTTACACGTAATGAAAAAGGCAAAAAAACACGAGTTTAAGCCCGGCCCAGCCCGACCTGCAAAATTTTACATATTATCCCGCCTTTTTTGCGTATTCCCTCCAGTATTTTTCGTATTATTCCCTCAAAAACTTCTATTTTGCATAATATAGTAGAAAAGAAGGTTCCAAAAAATATTTTTTTGGCTCTGTTAGGGTTTGGTCGCTGCATTTATGATGAAGATAGATTTCTCTCTTAATGAAGAGTTAGAGCACATGGACGACGAAATCAATGTCAACGCGTTTGAAACGGATGTAAGATTTATTGCTTACTTGAATACGTTTTCCGTTTTCCAATTTTTACTTCGATTGTTGTGAGGTTTTTTTTTATTATTCTGTGGTTAGATTTATATTATCTGTGGTTATATTAAAGAAATACTCAATAACCTGAGAATAACCCAACAATAACCTACCAAAAATCCTACAAAAAATTCGAGAAAAAGTAACCTACCAGCTCTTTCAAAAAATAGTTAAATATTCTGTGAATCTTCGATTGTTGTGAGGTTGTTTTTTGATTATTCAAGGGTTTAGGGTTTACTTTTCTGCGGGTACATTGAAGAAATACTCAATAACCCGAGAATAACCCAACAATAACCTAAGAATAACCCGATAAAGTAACCTACCAGCTCTCTCAAAAAAAGTGAAATATTCTGTGAATCTTTGATTGTCGTGATGTTATTTTTTCATTATTCTGTGGTTAGGGTTTACTTATCTTCGGATACATTGAAGAAATACTCAATAATTTGAGAATAACCTAACAATAACCTAAGAATAACCCGAGAAAGTAACCTACCAGCTCTCTCCAAAAAAGTGAAATATTGTGTGAATCTTCGATTATCATGAGGTTATTTTTTCGTTATTCTGTGGTTAGGGTTTATTTATCTTCGGGTACGTTGAAGAAATACTGAATAACCCGAGAATAACCTAAGAATAACCCGAGAAAAAGTAACCTACCAGCTCTTTCAAAAAACTGTGTAATAGCTATAGGGTGTGTTCTTTTCTGAATATCTGACTATCTCTATGGTATAATTCAAATTTGTAGTTATCTAGGCCAGAAACATATTGCAATGATCCAATTGCTCGTATCTTTCTTAATACTATTGTCTGTAATGAGGAAGAGGCTTACAAACATTATTGTGCTTATGCACATTATGTTGGTTTCACTGTATGCAATGACCGCACAATTTACTAGGCTAAATCTAAGCAAATTAAGTCGAAGGATTATATTTGTGGAAAATCAGATCATAAAAGAGAATCGCAGTTAGCCACTGCTGTGAAGTACAAAAAAGCGGATACAAGGACTGCTGTCAAGCAATGGTTCGTTATGTTATTGATCTTGATGAAAATTGGACCATAAAGAAATTTGTTGAAAGTCATAACCACCCCTTGGCGAAATCCGGTGACAAGAACCTTCTACGTTCCACTTGGAGGATTAGCGAGTTAAATGCAAATTTTCTGAGATCAATGACAGATTCTGGGATTAGAGCAGCGGATGCATTTAATTTCCTTGCTACAGAGGTTGGTGGAGTTGAAAACTTGGAGTGTACGAGGCAAGATGCATACAACTTCATTCAAAGGGATAAATGAAGTAGAATTGAACAGAGTGATGCCAACTCTCTCTTACATTTATTCATGGAGCGTCAAAATGAAGATAACATATTTGCATGGGATTTCCAAAGTGATGAAGAGGGCAAACTTACAAGCTTTTTCTGGAGTGATGGGTCATGCAGACTAGATTATGATTGTTTTGGAGATGTCATCATTTTCGACACTAGATGTCGTTTGAATTAGTATAATTTATGTTGTGCTCTTTTCGTAGGGAGTAACCACCATCGGCAAAACGTTCTATTCGGAGTTGGTTTTTATCTAACGAGACGATAGAATCCTTCAAGTGGTTATTCAAAAACTTCATTTGTATAATGGATGATAAGCATCCAATTACAGTGTTTACAGATCAGGATCAAGCGATGGCAAGAGTCATTGCAGATTGTTTTCCATTCACAAGGCATAGATTGTGCCAATGACATATCTATAAGAAATTATTGTCGAAAGTTCATTGTGGTGTGATGTACAAGAGCGTTAACAATCTATTTTACAGATGCACGAGCAAATGTGATTCAGAAGAGGAGTTCAAAGTAACTTGGGTAAATGATCGAGCAAGGAAACCTACACAACAACATGTGGCTACATGCATTGTACCGTATAAGACATAACTGGTCAATTGCATTCAATAAACAAATTTTCGGAATGGGAATCTTACCTATGCAAAGAAGTGAGTCCACAAATAATGTTTATCATGGTGCATCTAAGCCCACTAGTTCCCTCATAAATTGCTTTCTGGGTCTAGAAAATATTATGAAGTCATGGAGAAGGAACGAAAAGGATGAAGACTTCAAAAGATTTCAGAATGTTATTACACCGACAATTAAAACAAGCCCAATGTTGAGGCAAGCTGCAACGTATTATACTAGGAAGCTCTACTCTATGTTTGAGGAAGAGTTACTTCATGGGAGTCCATCTGAATTCTATGTTAGAGGTTTGGATAATCAGGACACGAGTAGAACCTAGTTTGTTACATTTGATAGGCTTGATTGCGACATCACCTGCAGTTGCAAGAAATTCGAAATGATGGGTCTGCTTTGCTCTCACTCTCTACGCGTCCTTAATGCTAGTAATATAACAAAGATTCCCGAGAAATATTTGTTATTCAGATGGTTTGTTAAGGCAAAGAAAGATATCTATAATAGTTTTGGGTACAAACATATACTCAAATGTCTGACACAACTTCCAGAGGAATCCTATTTCGGTCACATGCTCAAAAGTTTGCCTACCAATTAATTAATAAAGCTCAAGGAAATGAACGCGCCGAGACATATATAATTGAATTATTGAAAACAGGGTCTGAAGGTGTTGAGGATATATTAGATTGGAAGGATCCTAAACCAAATAGACCAAACAAAAAAAGGAAATCCCATAACAGTGGCTACAATGTGAATGATCCCGCAAAAATGAGACCGAAAAGTATTTCTAATGCGAGGTTGAAAGGATACTGGGAAAAAACAAGAGAGTCAAAGGTATATATTTCTACATTCCATATATTTACTATTCTACATTCTATATATTTACGATTATATGCAAAATTAATTGTCTTATACTTTTACCACTGTATGCAGGAAAACATCAAGAAACATATACGAGCCAAGAACTACACATCCATTAAGACGCAAATACGATTATAGTGTCACACTCTCTGAGTCAGGAAATTGTCACGCCAGATCCAACATGCTTTGTGCCCAGTATAATTCTCCTTATTTAATGTGTTGTGCCCACTTTAACTCATCCGTATTAATGTACTAGTTCATATAACATTATTCCAAATGGAAGCTGTAGATGTATGTTTTATAATTCATATGTATGTTGAGTATAGAATTTTGTTATCTGATTGTTTAATATGATTGTGTAACCCACAATAACCTAATAATACTCCAACAATAATCTAACATTACCTCAACAATAACCTAACATTACCTCAAAAATAACCTAACAATACTCCAATAATAACCTAATTGTAACCCAAGAATAACCTAACAATACCCCAAATAATAACTAAGCCGTAACCTTACAACACCCCAACTGTAACCTAACAATACCTTAACAATAACCTAACAATACCCCAACAATAACATAAAAATACATTCACCCCTACAACATTGAAATTATCAGACGTAGTCATCCAACAGTTCAAACAGTCATCCCTACAATATTCAACATATAAAACATGTAGTCACAAACATTCACCCTTGCAAATTTCAGTGCATCAAACATACAGTCGTTCAGCAGTTCAAACATTTAGCCCTACAATAAGATATCAAACACATATACATTCCGCATTTCAAACACAATAGACAATCATATAGACCAAATCCGAGGCTTATAAGCCTGCCAAATTTCATAGTCATTCAGCCTGTAAAACATAAAGACAATCAAAGTTCCGAGTTATATTTATCCTGCAAATAATTTATATCTACAAATTTCATATAGTAGCTCTGCCCTAAATCGAGGCATCTCAGCTTGCCACTCTTGATGGTCTTTCTATTTAATTTTGTCTTTGTGTACAATTGCTTCAATATATTTACAAACAAATATACCGTAGTCGACGCTATTACTTCGTGTGTGAATGCCTATTGTCGTGATAACATCCCAATTATTCGGGTCACTGCGGAAAGCTTTCCCAGCATCCTTACGAAGATGTCTTATCTGGTTATACAAATGGTAGTTTAAAACAGTGAAAGAATAAACAATTTATGTCAGTTGTTAGTTAAATAAGACTTAGAATTTTACCAAGTCACGGGTGACTCCCAAATGCATTTTATTAGGTAATGAGTCATAAAATCTCCAATTGCGGTCCTTCTGGTTCCCAACAAGTAGAGTCCAATGCCTATTATTAATTATTTGAACTAAAATTGCCTCTGCTTGAGATACAGCTTCCACTGTGACGTGGGCAACAATATCTCGCAGAGGATGGTATCTGAACCCCTGTATATACAAAATAAATGAGTTTAAAAGAGCATGAACAACTAACATTGATGAGAATTTTATTACTTACCCAATGTGCCAGAGAGACGTACAAATAGGGTCTAAAAGAATCAGGGGACTGACGCCTACGATTATCTAATCTAATGGCAAACATATCTACATATTCTACCCCAACTTCTTTATTATCCCAAAAATTATCCCAAAGTGCTTCAAGGTCATTTTGACTTATATGAATGTGACCCTGAGCAATTATTATGTCATCCCTGCATATTGATTGAACAATTTTTATTAG